CTGTAGCCCAAAAACTTCCAGAAGATTTACAACCTGCACTACAGGAATTTTTAAGTTTGATTGTATATCGTAGAATTCAATTTGATTATCCGCTTGCCTTAATAGGTAATAAGGATGAGGTTCCTATGTCATTCGATCTTTCTATCAATATAACAATTGATGATTGTGGTATAAATACGGTTTCATTAAGGACTTCTGGTTATGAAAAATCAAATTTTACTGTTGTGCTTACTTGTATGACAAATGGAACTAAACTTTCACCTGTTATTATTTTTAAACTTATGAATGTTCCAAGGCAAATATTTCCTGCAGATGTAATTATTCATGTAAATCCTAGTGAATAGATGAATTCAAATGAAATGCTATGGTGGATAGAGAATGTATGGAATTATAGAGGAAGGACAAATCCACACTCACTTTTAGTTTTAGATTCATTTAAAGGATATATAGAAGATATTGTTAAGTGTCGATTTTTTAAAAAAAATACTAATTTAGCCATAATTTCAGAAGGTTATACTTCAAAATTACAACTGTTAGATGTAGTTATAAATAAATCATTTAAGGCAAAGGTACTTCAATAAATTTATTTATTTATCATTATTATATGAGTTATGCCAAATTAAAACCTAGAACTAAATATCGATATATTTAGTTCCAAATTTTAATTTGGCAAAACTTATATTTAAATAAATAATTTAATAAATTTTATTTTAGATGCAGCATTATTATAATGTTTGGCTAGATAATGGTATTTTAACTTATACTAAGACAGGTCGTATTCAACGCCCTGCATATAATTTGGTCACTTAATAGATACTTCAGGCATGGAATAATATTGATCCTAACCTTATACGAAAAGCTTTCAAGTGTTGTGATATATCTAACTCACAAGATGGCACAGAAGATAGCTTAATTTTTGATTATAATAGACTTGGTCAATATACAAACTCACATAATCATATGTATATGCAAAATGAGTTTGAAAACTCTAGTGAAAGTTCAGGTTCAAATATTGCTGAAGGCTCCAATACAAATATTGTTGAAGGCTCTAATACAAATACTGTTGAAGGCTCTAATACAAATACTAGCAAAAGCTCAAATATAAATATTAGTGAAGGTTTATGAAATATAATTTAGAGTTTATAAGTTATCAATTAATAATATAAA